TCTTCTCATTCCTTTCTTCGGGTTTGATTTATTCCCTTCTGCACAATATTAGTAATCAATAGGTTCCTCTCCAATAGCGGAAACTGGTTTAAATCAATTTTAAAACTGGTTTACCAAATTTAAGACATGGAAACTTCCTTTTTTACAGTACGGATGAGTACAGCTCTGGACCAGAGGGGCAAGTTACGTTTTCCTGGGTTGAACAGAAAGGAAGGCAATTAGCGCTGGATCTTCCTGTCAAGCTTTTGGGGCTTTTTTGAGAGCTCAGCTGGGTGCAGGTCGACAATTTCCCCTTCACAAACTTGTTGAGGGGCCTACGACCCAGTTTACAAGACGACTGAGAGATGAAAGTAATAAAAAGGGATTATCTTCGGCCACAGTCATTCCCGTCCTAGAATGCGCCCCGCATTCGACATCTATTCAGAATCGTAGTGGCGTTTTGTATGGGTATGATGGTTATACAATGTCTAGCTGTAACCGGCCGATGTACTAGTCAGGGCCTTAATCCTCTCAGCCTGTTACTAATCAGCTGATCTCAGTAATTTGGAAGTCCTGGTTGAGGTTGATCTAGTAGAGTGTCGGTCCGGAGCTCGATCTCTCGACCATGCATGTGTGATAGTGCGCTACTGGCCACTAAATCACCTCGACACCTGTGACACTGTAGTTCTGGGTAAACCAGTAATTGACCTCAAAAACGAAGCGGATGTTGTGTTCGCACTTACCCCAATCGACCACATACTCTGCCTAGCAGGTTTTTAGGACAGTTTGTTCGGACTGGTGGAGTTCTTGAATACCAGTGGGTCGGTAGTTGTTGGTTGCACTACAGTTCAAGTCCTCTGCCTGGGGAGAGAATAGCCATCGAGCCATCGACGTGTATTCGAGAAGCAGACCGGAATCCGTGCAAGCGCTCATATCCCGTGTCATTACCCAGATATCCACCTATATAAATAATAATGAGTCATGATCAAGGATATTTGGGATAAGGTTAACACAGAGGCTCCCTCCCGTAAGCTTGGGATGGAAGATCTTTTGATGACTCAACTACAGGTCAATAAAATACCTCCAGAAATACTAGTCATGTCTGAAATGGTGTAGGTAAGGAAGTGGCCATGGGATAGAGGCTACTCCCATCCCATAGCGTCATAGTCTCACGCATCTCAAACTCGCTGATCGAAAACTTTCTCTAAAACCAGCCACTGAATTGGTGTGAAAGTCTAGATTGGCATGGGAAGGATTCAAGCCAGTACTAGACTGGATTACAGTATAGACCTCATGCATCGTTCGTAGAAACTCTCGAAGAATCCTTGATCTATACTCAATTCTCTTGTAGCTCTCCCGGAGAGCTTTCGTTTTGCTATCTCTCCAAATTATATTTCCCATATTTTTGAAAATGAAATTTTCGACTTTTCTCAGCTGAGACATTTATTGGACCAGCACCCTTTCATTCCTTCAGGGTCTGTTGGATAGGGCTACATAGTATATCCTTCTGCCGGCATTTGTACTTCGGTGAGTCCCAGGAAGTCGCCATATTGGCCATTTTGGTTCACCCGAATACGACCACTGATGTCGAACGTGGGAAGCAATCCAGCCTTACGTCATTGTCATACTGCTGTGTCGCACTGTAAGCACTCCCATAGGTGGGAGATGACGAGAGGGCAGTATCAGAATAGTCAACCTCTTCAGCTTTTTAATGGCTTGCTTTGAACTTGCTCATATGAGCGAGTTCACATGCTGGTTCAGACTCGGGGTTGCTCCCAAAGGCCCTTTGTATAACTTCTTTAAATTCTTGAACCAATCTTTCCAAAACCATCATGTATATGGGCTCCCTGGGGGAAAACGAAGGAAAGTTCAAGTGTTATTTGCCTATCGTTCCGTCCGATACGCTCTAGCTAATGTAAAAAGCAAGAAGCGTGGGGGAGGGGGGATTGTCAGGTAAGCACGCACAGGTATTTCAACCCAAATATAGTTTCTTGTGAACTGATGTTTCATAGCCTCAAATGAGTTAACTGGCTACTATAGGATCACGCATAGATCCACAAAATATCGATGGATCGGCCAGAATACATCTGTATCCAACAGAACGATTTATCTGTCTCGATGCTTATAACCTTTACAACTTTCCAACCTTGAAGCCCATTACTAGCAGATATCGTGGAATCCGAGAGAAAATCTGATTTCCGAATGGTAACCTTGGAAATCGTGGGTTCTCGGACACGGACAGTCAACACATTGATTCCTTTCACATTACAAAAACTAAGCGAGAAATCCCTGCATCGTCAAACGAAGTTGGCATTACGTGGGAGGAACGACGACCTGGTAAGAAACGATGAATGATGAGATGGCCGTCCGTTTCAATTGGAACGGAAACAACCAAGAAAAGATTTTGAGGAAAAAATAGGGAGGGACCATTTATACTACGCGTTCAGCTCTGAAACGGGAGATTCTGGGAGAAGGATGACCTTTGTTCAATCGTCCTGCCTACTTTCCTTACGATTTGCTTTCGGAATCAGTAGCAACTTGACTTTGACCGCGGCTCACCAGTAGCGACCACTATGACCAAGAAGCTGAAGACAAAGAAAGAAAAGGACAAAGAGAAAAAGCAGCCCAGCTGCCTTCAGTCATTGCGCCGCCGCCATCTTCAAAAAAGGGTTCTGCCGTCGACTCCGTTACATAGTGAGCTAACCCTGCATTTTCAAAGAATTCATGCCGGGTCAAATCAAAATCAATCGATAAATACTTTCTTGTAGTTTTGTAGTTATTGTAGGAGTAGATAAGTGTTCAGGAGCATCGCTCTCGAAAGATTCTGGGGATCAAATTCAGTCAAAGTCATCAGTGTGTTCCATCTGGTTGAGGTCGACAAATCACTTCGGAGCGCACTTAAGGATCATTTGGTTGTTGGAAAGAGCTTGTGAACTTTGGTGCCGTTCCCCAACGTATTACACCCCCTTTTTACGTACCCTGTTATATTTGGAATCTCTTGTTGAGGGCGGTGGAGGTGTCTCGCCAAGTGGCGGACTATCACAATCATGGTCAGAGGTTCGAGCCCCGGACTTATACTCCACCGGATCAACAGAGCCTTTCATTCCTCCAGACCAGATTAGAGGTACTAGACACGTTTGGGAGGACGAAAACACCTACTTGTACCTCAGTAAGCTTCCTCAAGTCAATGTGTTGGCTTCACTCACAACGCTCTACGATTTCGAATGGAAGTTGATCGCGATGCGCATCCAANATTTTACTTCTTTAAACGCGCTTAACTTCACTGGAAGGTCACTATGCTGTGGCCAAGAAATACTATTTCTGGTCTGTAACTACGGGCTTTGTAAGAATTGTAGTGTAATGAGACCCGTTCGTTACGCCGGATAGATGGCAATACGCCAATGGGAATGTGGTTCCAGATTGACGACGACTACGACGACGATACTTACGACTGTAACAGAGTGTGATGGATGAAGACGTTCCCCTCGTAGACAAAAGACATCGACTATCGACCGCCGACGACGACCGACGATGGTGTTGTAGTTCGGCCAAAACTCGTAAAGGCACTAATCGAGCACAGTTAGTCATAAGGCGTTCCTTGCTTTACTGCCAACCAATTTCCGTAAAAACCCCTGGTCAAGTATCAGTAAAGTAAGAAACTCAGCAGGTCATTCAGGACCATTGGCCTACTTGACATTAGTTGAGTTCCCAAACGATATCCCCACGAATTTCAATTATGTGGAGCCTTTCTGTGCTACGGGTGGGTAGTATGGGTCTCTTCGAATTTATAGAGATAAATAATTCTCGAAAAAATATCCACGAGAACGCGGGGTGCTTGGACCTGAAACAAAATCTGACCATTCAAATCTTCAAGACCACTTTCAGGACTTGAAGGAGGGCTCAGAAGACGTAGATGGATACTTACCCAGTCAGAGAATTGTCCTACCGACTAAGTAAGGGAAACCTGCTCAGTCCAACTTTTTCAAGCAGCATTTACTGGTACTTAGTTAAGGTACGGTGTATACACGAGAGTTTCCTCAAGTCTATCATTCGTACAGGATGGGATCCTACAAGTGCATTGATTGACCTTCTGCTGTCTGTTCCTTTCGATGCCAAACAGCTCAAGTTTTTAGATCCAATGACCTGGCCTCATCTGATC